ATGTTTGGTTCGGAGCTGTAGAAAGTTAGTGAAAATTCGAAAATCAGTATACTTGACATGAAATCTATAGAATATGTTTATTGAAATGAGTATTCCTCATCCAGTAGTCTAACTCATTAGCGATCAGCTCACTTATTTGTTTTGGACCATGTTCATGATAGATACTGTTCTTCTTTTTTTTTTTTACTCGTGAATACTTTCTGTCAGAGCATGACAGTATAAGAAGTAGGTTTCTACTTACTATGAATGTAAGACGATCGTATTTGATTGTAGGTTTTACTTGATCAGTGGTAGTCTTGCGAGTATTTATATATTGTTCAAATGAAGTCACTTGAGTATTCGTCAATGATGCTTATTAACATATAAAAAGGACCATTCCCACTTTGAAAGTGTAAGGCAAAACATTATTAATGATCATCATTTACTAATTAAGCGTCAAGTAAAAAACCCTACCTAGAAGAGGAACATTACCTGTGTGAAAAAGTAAGCAAGAAACATTAGTCATCATCACTTAGTCATTTTTTCATTTGCTTTTTCCTCATATCAATAGACTATGTGATTCATTTTCATATTAGTTTGCTTTTATGTCCTTTCATAAACAAGTGTCAGTGGCAAAAGTCCCACTTACTTCATTCGAACAACATATATATATACACTCACAAGATAATCACTGATCAAGCAAAAACTACAATCAAATACAATTATCTTAGTTTCAAAGTAAGTAGACTGCTCTACTTCTTATACTGTTATGCTGTGAGAGAAAGTGTCCAAGAGTAGGAAAGCAATAGTAGCTAGCATGAACATGACACCAAAACGAATACGTGAACTCTCCGCTAATGAGTTAGACTACTGGGTGAGGAATATTAATTCAAAAAGAAGAAATAACTTGAGCAAAAGTTATACTTGTTTGTGAACGTTTTAGCAGCTTCTCTCAGAGAGTTTCATTTTTTCAAAGAAAATATCAAATTTTTCCGATAGAGTAATGTGTAAAATTTTCATTGATCAGAATTTGTATTTGTAATAATGTGTTCTCTTCGAGATATCGCTTTGTATATGTAAAATTACTACTACTCTTTAACAACTCAAGGTAAGCTTTTACAATACTCCTTTTTTCATGAATATTCCTTAATATTGGTAATAACTAATAAAAACCTTATCCTAATAAGATGTTGAAAGATTCTTGAGTTTATGTAATAATATAGTACTGTGCTTCTGTAGAGCTCTCGTGTCTTATTCAAATAACGAATAAGATTTACTAAACATAATTATTGATTAATAACAGAAAATCATATATTTTAATTTCAGAAGTCGTCTACAAATACTGACTGAGCTACAATTAGAATCACAAAATGATCAATATTCTGTCTAGTTGGACTTTGGTTGGATTTATGGTAGTCAATATTTTGATTCTTGGTTGCGTCAGATGCGATGTCAACTGGAACGGAAATAATTGGGCCATGTCATGTGATTTCCGTGGAAATGATCTATCTAACGTCCAAATTGCGTCAAATCTTTGTGGTGGAAAATGTGCTCAAACTCAAGGATGTACTCACTTTACATGGACTCAATATAATGGTGGTACTTGTTGGATGAAATCGGGTACAGTTTCCAAAAGTGATGCCTTGTCAACCAGTGATTCAACTATGGTCTGTGGCGTATTGAACGACAGTCAGCAAGGAGGAGCTACTTCGACCGTTCAGTGGAACGGAAATGATTGGGCTATGTCATGTGATTTCCGTGGAAATGATCTCTCTAGCGCTCTAATTGCATCACAATTTTGTGGTGGAAAATGTTCTCAAACTCAAGGATGTACTCACTTTACATGGACTCAATATAGTGGTGGCACTTGTTGGATGAAATCGGGTGCGGTTTCCAAAAGTGATGCCGTCTCAACCAGTGATCCAACTATGGTCTGTGGTGTGGTGAACATTGCTGGACCAAATCCTGACTTAGGTCCAGTACTTTCTGGTGTTCTTGCAACACGTCATGGAGCTTATGAGTCTGGTGCTTGTGCACTTCCAACTTCAAATTACGTTGTTGTAAACCCAGTTGCTCTGGGAGATATTAGTACTTTGCAGCAGCTCAAATTCCGGCCAGATCTATGTGGTCATGTTCTCAAGGTTGATTGTGGTAATGGACCATTGGATATTGTCATTACAAACTCAAACTATGGAGGAGGTCTAGATCTTTATGGTTCTACTTGGGACAAACTTACTAACAACAAACCACCTGGACAAACCTATTGTAATGTTCAATTAACTTCTCGTAATGCCTTTAGCTTTCAAGAACCTCGATGTTACTACAAGCCTGGAACGGATAATAACAATGCGTATTATCATAATGTTGGACTTTTGAACACAGGCAGCCGTATTGTTCGCGGAGCTACTATCGATAACCGAGCTGGACAGCATCGGGGGGACAATCCTTACTATGCGTTTGATTTTGGTCCAATTGATGGCAACAAACAAGTTGTCTTTACTTTCGAGGATGGAACTACTTACTCCGTTTTTTTACGAGATTGTGTATATCAAGGAAGTGAACAAATGTGGAGTTGAATATAGATAATAAAACTTATTTTCTAAAACGATTTTTATTAATACTGTTATACATTGGTTTGTAATGGCAACTGACATGAACAGTTAATTTGACACTGATTAGTTAATCGATTAACTGTTGTTTAAGAGGGGTGTGGATGTGGGTACTGGATAAGAGAAGAAGCACCCACCCACACCCACACTCACACCCACACCCATCTATTTATAAGTTAAAGTTTAAAAGAGAGATTCAAAATTATAGCACAACTCTTTGCTTTTCTTATTTTTTATGGTGAAAATTCAGTGTATTCAATTTTTTTCGAAGAAACATGTACTTCTCAGGCTTAAACACGTACGAAACAATCCATTGCTTCTCAATGCCGATGAACAATATTGCTTGGTATCAGTTTTATATTCGTAGAAACAATTGATCTCCGCAACAGTCATCATCTATTGTAGAATAGGTTTCAATCTTTGGCGATGCCCTCAAATAATATGTATAACAGAACCTGACACGAATCAAAATTTTCGAGTTGAATCGATTCAGATTTGAAAAAAGTCAGTTTGATTCAAACTGAACCATTCAAGTTCGGTTCGATTTGAAAAAAGCTTTGCAAAAAGCAGGATTTCTGTACTTTAACCCTTGACACCTGCTTGTTTGTGTTATCTTTCAGCTAGTCATTTGTTTTCAAGAAATAAAAGTACTTTTTCGAGTATAATAGATACCTTTTAAAAACCTATTGACCCGATCGACCTGAACCGAACTGAAGTTCTCTAGTTCGAGATTGGTGTGCAGAAATACAAACTAAAAGATAAATATACCAAGTGTTGTAAAACTTTAAGAGTATTCAAAATACGTGAGAATTCTTTTTTACATATGTTTTCTTATAGTGATAGTATATTGAAAATACAGACTGAATCTATTTATTTCCAGGGATATATATTTTCTGTTCAATTGCTTCATTGAGAACATACAATCATGATATTGATTCTTAAAGATAATCGTTTTCGATTCGACAAAGTATAATATTTTGTTTTTTAGTGCAACAAAAAAATCATTTTGTAATAGCGTCATTATGATTGTAAGGAAACTCACAATAAATTTTCTCTTGGCTATCAGAGAAATACTAAACACATATATTAACGCAAGAATATTTAATCAAATACGTAAATATATTACAATTTGTTGTTGGTTTGTAATCGATTTATATATGGATAAATATCAAAAAGAAACACTTTCCTCGCCACAGTCGAACGATGCCAAAAAAGAAGAGAAAATTGACTTGATAAAACTAATTTTTTTACTGAAATCCAATCAGCTTTAAGAACATCACCATATTTGATAATCGCAGATGAAATATCATTTGAACCATTTGATAATGATGGTTTTCATAATAGAGCCATTGATGATAGTTTAAAAAAAAAATAAATATCATTTTATTTATAAAGTCGAAAAAATGGATCTGCTGAATTGATGATTGATTTAACTGATTTTTTAAATGATTTTGCTTGATTATATCCAATTAGAATTTGCTGTTTGAATACAAAAATTATAAAAGAAATTCTCATTTAATATGATGACTTGAAAAACTTGTTATTAATGTTAGTAAAATTTCTGCATGATCCATTCGTTAGTTTTGCCTTTTCTTTTATCATGCATTTCTAATAAATATTCTGTTGACGAACTACTACCATTATTACATGATATTTCGCATTGTAATGTTATTAATGAATTTGTTTGAAGTATAACATCAAATTTAATTGGTTATTCTAATGTTATTGATTAATATTCACAATTTTCAGAAAATACTTTGTATTTATATAAGAATCTTGATCTACTCAATCTTTTACTGTTAATTGACATATTCCGTCTATATATAGAAAGGAAAATTAATTAAAAATGTTTCTTTTTGAAATAATTTACTTTAACGCAAATTAGTCTTGATATATCACGTCTTAGAATAAGATAATCTGTTAATATTGTACTAATTATATGAATTTTCAGCAATAATTAGATCAATTTTTGTTGATGATCGTAATATTTCAATAAAATTCTCCGAAAATAAACGAAAATGATATGCGACATCTTCAATTCATCCTGGCGCTATATATGTAGATATACCGCCTGCATCATTATATCGAACACATGGTCGAATATTCCATACAGCATCACGTTTTTCAACAACATAACTCATTGAGGGTAATCATTTCCAAAAGTTAAAATTTGATCAGGAAAGACTTTCTCTGTTGATTAAAAGGCGAGGTTATGAGTGTGAAACTTCCCTTCACGTAAAACCACATAACCGCACCCATATCTATACCGAGTATAATCGCTTTAATGAGCGATTCACTCACAGTCGCAATTACTTACAACATTTTTCGTTTGTATTCGATGATCGCAGTAACTGATTCTCGTCTAATCTATATTGTGAAGAGCAATAAAATCCTATGAACGGAAGTGGTCTATTCTGATGTAATCCGACATATTCAGATACTAGTAATTGAAAGAATTTTGTCATAAAATCAAGGAGAATTTAACTCGACGAATTCTGTTGATTTCCTGACACTAGATAATTTTGAATCACATCTTATGCAAATAGACCTTAGCGATCGAATCTGATCCTTTCTGACTTTATTAATTCCACTGGAATTCAATAAATACAGCACGTGGATTTCAATGGAAAAATGTGCAGATCCAATGTCTTGAAGTTGACTTGAATAATTAATGTACAATGTGAGTGACTACTTTTGTTTATTGTGTGAATCCAATGAAAAAAAAAATAGTAGGGATAGGGAAAATAGCAGTCACTCATTGTGAGTAACTTTTGTCGTTCTAAAGGCCATTTTTGTGTTCTGTCGTTGATGCACGCAAAAATTGTTAGGAAAAACAAGCACGCACAATTTGTCTGCTAGCGATTGTAGTGGGCATGAATAGCGGAACGCAAGAGAGAATTTTAGAACGACAAAAAATGGCACAATGTGGATGAGAGAGTGACTGCTTTTCCTCCCAGTCTTACTATCATCGTGCAATCTGTCGGATTGTTTATATTCTATTCTCGTCTTCATCACTTCTCAAATATGCTCAGAATAGAATCCAATAGAAGAAAAGAGTTGATCATTCACTGCAAAACAAAAAGAAATGATTTTTTTCTCTATTTTCTAAGTACCATTCCGACATGTATTGAAGAAATAATTGTAGTGCAAACTGTATGCCACATAGAAATTTAATGTTGTTGAATTGACTTTACATAAGGTAAGCAAAGATTTACAAAGGATAATAAATAATTTCCGGGGTGTTCGCAACTAGACAATCGTCATAAAAATATTGGCAATGTATTTTCGAAAGACTTGACAATTGCGTTACATTTTCTCACTATTCTCATCCTTTGCTTCATCGCAAAACTTTTTTTCATTCGTTCGTCATATATTGATGTCATTTTCAGACGTACACGTAGTAGACTCATTGTTTTCGTGTAAAAGACATGTCATCTATTACTCGTGGGAGAGATTCTCGAAATTCTAAGAAAGACATTTCAGTTGAGACAAAAACGATGACTGATAGTCGATTACTTGCATTCGTTTTTGGTTTTCAATCAATGAACAAGTACGCCTAGATAATAGAAATTTTTTTCTGAACAAGACTGACTGATAGGATCAATCCCGGCTTATATTTCTAGTAGGTAACACCGATAGTCCATCAGCAGAAGGAAGTTGAGTTCAGATAGTGAAAGTCGCCGTTACTATAATAGTTCTACAAGTCTTTTTCTTCAGTGGAATGGCTGACTGTATACGAAGACAAATAGAGATGATGAGTTAAGCTTCGTTTTCTTTTTGTTGTAGGACATTGCATCACTAAAATTAGCGATCTCGACTGACCATAGTATGGAGACTTCGCCTCTTGTTAATCTACCTCCGGAGTTAGTTCATCGCATATTCGACTATTGCGATATCCAAACGATTCTCCTTCATGTTCGTTTTGTCTGCAGAACACTTTATGCTATTGTCAACACTTATGATCGGCTCGCACTCATAATCAATTCAGAATCAGCAAGTTTCATGAAACCTATTTCTCGTATCATTCGACCAAAAAGTATTATTTCACTTTCTATCGCCAATGGTAGCGCAAAAAATGATGAAATCAATTTATTTTATTTATTATTCGACAGTCTTCAATTTAATCGACTACATTCATTAACTATGCATCAAATTCGAGATAAGGATTTGGAACATGTGTTACAAAATTCAAGTACTGAAACTTTGATATCACTTTCAATTACATCATGTGAGATTAGGCATGACTATACGTGGACTCTTGTCTCATATGCACTCAATCGATGGAATCTTCGGATATTATCTATGAACAACATGAACTATGTGTTAGGAGACATTTCATGGACAAATCAATACAGATTAGAACATTTGGTTGTCGCTGAATGTAGCTATTGTGATTATCTTCTTATACTTCATCAGTTGCCAAAGTTACGAACACTTGCCATGAAAGATTGCATTATAGATGTGAGGAAGATGTCTTTAACGTTACGTGAATCGCCATGTCATGTTTCATTGAAGTCTCTCACTATAACAGACTGTTCCATTACTCCACAACAGTTTGAATTGCTTCTTTCACCAATACCTTCACTTCGTCATCTCTCACTGAGTTCTCGTAGGCAAACATTCGACTGTATTTTCAATGGCTACTTTTGGGAACAACTCATTTGCACTAAACTACCTAAACTAGATCAATTGGAATTCTTCTTTTCTTACCAGTACCGCCCAAATGATGACCTCATTAATCTTAAATCAACCATTACTCTGTTTAAAACGCCTTTCTGGCGTCATGATAAACATTGGTTTGTGACATGTGCCTATGTTCCAAGATCAAAAGAGACTTGGCTTTATACAACACCTACCAACATTATTCGGGATCAAGACGCAGTCAGATGTGAAGTATCATCGATAAACAAATCTTATCGTTTGACTCAACAACCCGTTAACAAAGTGGTTTATCATACTTTAGATGA